CGTAATGAAGGTGATGGCGATGGCAAGTAGTGCTTGAATATAGGCCCAAGTCTAGTCTCAACAGTGGTCACTGTGACAGTAGGGGACGCCTCCCCAATGTGGACACTATAGGGACCACCCCCACCTTAGTTCTGCTTTAACAAGTGACTAATTAAATCTAGTGTACAGGATGTCTTTAGGCAAATGACCAAAAGATGAAACTTTTGACTGCCCCTGGGAACTAGAAACAGTGTGTAACTATATGATTAGTAGCCGAACTGTCACTTTAAAAGCTGAATTCCAGGAAAACAGGTAAACGCACAGATTTAAATACATATTAGCATTTGTCCATCCACTCGTGAGATTTACACAGTTCTGCCAAACAACTGGCAGGAAACCGGATTTTTCTCTGCTGCAGTAAAGTAGCACTCACAGGGCTTGTCCACCCCCCCCCAGCCTGTGACTGGACAGTGAAAAGAGAAGCAGCAGACTGATGAGCTCATCTCTCCTTCACTTTACTCTCTCCTCCCATTAGTATGCTCCTTGTTAGCACATAAGCACTGCAGCACAACTGATTGGCTCCTTGTGCTGCTTCTCCCTCCCCCAATCTGAGCTCTGCTATACAGGGACTGCAAGAGGCTGCTACCAAGTCAGAGTCAGTTAGTTTAATAATGCATTACATTTGTGGTCTTTTAAATCTGCCTTTATTTTAAAAGCTAAAAAGGCACGTACCGCCATTTTGCAGAAACCGCATTGGTCGTCTTGCAGAGCCAATTCAGTTTGTCATTGCCATCTGGTTTCACATATGGAGATGGTTAATACAATGTGGTGATTCAGCAGTATAGGCGAGTACAGAGTACAGCGTGTAGCCAGTTTACATTCCCAGACGCTGCGAGACACTCGTAGTCTATTCTGACATACGAGCCCCACCAGTCTGAATCACCGTGTAGAAGTACATGCTTGGCCCAGCCCAGCTCCCGCCATTAGTCATCTTACTAATACACGCACACAATGCGTCAGAGGCACCGCACATTAAACGGATCCTATTAGGACATCCATAGTGTGTGTGTGTCGCTAATTTGAGGGAATGCGGATCGAGAGATGGTAAAAAAGCAGACGCGGAGAAGGAAATCTGCTCCACCCGCCCATCCCATTTATAAATAGCCGGAGCGCCCTAACGGTTCTAGCAGCTGTGCTAGGAAAACAGATCGCGTTTCATGCGTACAAAACGACAACAGGAAATGCAAGCGGTTCCCAGATCAAATGACCGGGCTGCAGAAAGCGCTCTTCCAGATTTCCGTCTTTATGATTTGTATTTCTGGCAGGTGAGCACCAGTCGGTCAGGAGGATTAACGAAGGATAAAAGTCATAGCCTGATCCAGGTATTACACACAAGGGGAATTAGTGAATCTCAATTTCCTAAACTGTAATCAGGATGACACCATACTTAAAGTGACACTAAACTTAGACCTTAAAAATACATTCAAGTCAGGGGCGTCCCGAGGAGTGGGCACCCGGGTGACACCCCGCCATGACGTCATTGTGCATGCGCGGCCATCTTGGTGATCTTTTAGATTGTAAGCCCTCAGGGACAGGGCCCTCCTTACCATCTAGACCTTGAATTGTATTGTGAATGTAATGTCTTCCTTATATTGTAAAGCGCTGCGCAAACTATTGGCGCTATATAAATCCTGTATAATAATATTATTATTAATAATACCTGCCTGGCCACCATCTTTGTGATGGACGCCAGCAGAGAGAGGATGGAACAACCACTCGGTAGGATAAGGTATGCCGCCGGGTTCCCTCCTCTCTTGCAACTGTCGGGCTCTGGGTCCATGACCGAGTGCACAACTTTTCAGAGGGGGTGACAGCCATTTTGGTGTCACCCGGGGGTGGGCCGCACCCCCCTAATGACACAACTGATTCAAATACCTTAATTATTAACAAAATGTGTCTTATTTGTGCATCACTCGGCTGTAGATCCTCCAATCATCTCTGAATTGGTGCCGACACTGTCCTTCCTTCTGGAGGGGGGGGCTTCTATTGTTTCCTATGATCCGTGTGCGAGTTGTAAAGTAGTCACCGCTCCAAGCAGCAGCTTGGAGGGAGCCAGCAGGAGTGGGGGGATTAGTTAAGGAAAATAGCTTTTCCTGTGTCCTAGGCATAAACAACAGTAAACCCTTGCAGTGCCGAGTAGCCCCAGTGCAAAGGAAAACTTCATTTTCTTGGCGTTGGGCTTTAACCAAAGTGCCTTCTGAGCACATAATCAACAGAATGCAAGCTGAGTGTTGGGGTAACACCTTAAGGGTCACAGGAGGACACAAACTAGCGTGCTCCCGTTACCCAAAGCTCAGTATACCGTGAGCTACGGCTCGCGGTATACTGAGACCGCTGCAGACGGGACGGATCCCGACATTACTGTCGAGATCCACCCAGCTGCGTGATTGACAGCTGGCTCTGCCTATCTAGAGGCAGAGTCAGCTGTACCCGCCTCCTCCCCAGTCTGTCCTGCCAGTCAGCGCTGGAGGATTGGAGCGGGGAGGGGGGGAATGCCTGCAGGGAGCCGTTAGTGTCACAGGCTCTCTGCAGGGACAGGATCGAGAAGTGAGCGAGCGACTGTATGCGCTCGCTCACTTCCCGATCTATTGAGCCGACCTGTGACAGTTTCATTGTCACAGGTCGGCTCAGATTATGAGGCTGAGTGCAAATCACTTACCTCATAGTTCTCCTTTAACTGACAACTTCCTACCAAACCCTAAAGACTGTTTCTGACCCTAAAGACTGTTCTCTGTAGTGATAGCTCTGACTGCCACACAGATTGTGCTTTAAAGTTTATTGGCCCTTTAAAATTCCACATATTGTGGTACATACATTTTGGAGAACCGGCTAACCCCATGTGACCTCAGCCTGGTGAACACAGACAACGAGCCCTACTCCCACATCTGGAACTATTTTTGGTCTTTAAATTTCACCATAGATTTATGTCCTGGGTTGCCGACTTCCTGTTTATTCTCTTGTGGTTCTATGAGCTCACACAGTCAACGGGAGCCATCAATCAAACCAGTGATGCGGTGAGTGACCCGGTTTGGGGTAGCTGCTGACAGCAATGACTAATGGGTGCGTGTAAACCAGTAGGGCAATGCCTTAGCAGCCTTGCAGCGCTGGCACCTCAAGTCCCATTTCCCACCATGGCGGCTATCTGTATGGATTTTGTATATTCTCACCGATATTCTACAAACATATCCTTGTAGGATTTCAAGCTTGCACTCCGATTTGTTCCTCTCACTGTAAGCGGGGAAAGCCATTTCTAGCTAATGGTGGCCGTACACTTATCGACTGTATTGATCTCCATACAAGATTGCAAATTGTATTGAACGATGCAACATGGTATCAAGTGATAATACGATCTATAACAAAAGTATCTATTCTAAACAGAAGCATGTTGGGATTTGTAGTTAAAGCACAGCTGAAGGGCCTGCGTTGTCCGCTCCTGCTGCAGCATATGCTCACCTTTCCTTTGCCTGCCGCTCCACTAGGAGCCAAAGTAAATATCCATGCGATATCTTTTGGCCAATCAGGACTGTCACAAGAGGAGCCCATAGTCTTTAAACAGGACCTTCCTTTCGCTCCCAGCAGGTGACCGGAGCGTCGGGGGAGCAAAAGGAAGGACCTTGTATGCATCTACATTAAAGTGAACCTGTTGCTCTGACATTCATAGGCAGAACACAGGCTCACTTTAAACCTAAAGCTCCAAGCTAAACAAATTGCATAACACGAGTTATGAGTATTCCTCCTTGAATCTCGGTGAGTTTTGTGTATTTCTTCTAGATCTGTGCAGTAATCCAGTGTGAGACTTGGAGTTTACTGTTATAAAGACCGCTCACTGCTGCTCTCTCTCCTTGTGCAGGGTGACTGGTCTTGTCTCTGCCCCCTCCTGTAATAAAGACCGGTCACTGCTGCTCTCTCTCCTTGTGCAGGGTGACTGGTCTCATCTCCACCCCCCTCTTGTAATAATGACCACTCACTGCTGTTCTCTCTCCTTGTGCAGGGTGACTGGTCTTGTCTCCACCCCCTCCTGTAGTTTCCCGCAGATAGCCTGTAGTGGATGGGGTCTGTTGGGTCCCTCCCACAGCTCTGCTCTCTACATTAAGTTTAGTCCAGTATGGCGCCCTTCCCTGTTGGTGGCTCCATGGGAGAGTGCCTAACGTAGCCTATAGATTGACTATGGTTGAGACATTAGACCAGGGTTGGACAACCTCGGCTCTCCAGCTGTTGTGGAACTACAAGTCCCATAAAGCATTGCAAGTCTGACAACCAGAAGCAGAGGGATTTGTAGTTTGCCCCTTAGCTGTATTGCTGAGGTTGCCTACCCGTGCATTAGACTGCAAGGCAGAGTACGGCTCTATTAACCCCGTAAATTTGGCACAATATAAATTTGAAAAATGAATAATAAAATGTTAATAAAAAACGTGTGCAATGAAAACCCTTCGGGGGAACAAAAAAAAAGTATATCTGTAGGTTTTAAATCCTGATGTTTGGTCTGCATTGTGTTCTATTTATGAACTGCACAGATCAGCAAAACCTCAGAATCCCAAGGATAGTTTTCAGATGTGCTGCAGCCTCCCTGCCAAGAACAGTTCAGTGACCCCGTGTACACACACATGCTATGAGGTGGGGGAAACACACAGCTTCAGATACCAGGACGTGTGTGTTTTCAGCAAGTGACCTTTCATCACAAAACTCTCATTTAAAAATTCCTTTCATGAACTTATTAGACATGTATTTCAACACAACACAACTATAACGACCTAAAACTGTCCTTATATTAGCTTTCCACAATCCTGGAGCACGACGCACTGCACTGGGAGCCAATCAGCCTCTGCACCGTGCCGGCAGATAGTGGAGGGCGGAGGGGAAGTGTTTTATAGAAGGAAGGGAGAAAATAGATGTTCCTAGCAGGGAGAATGTGTTCCTTCATAGCCTGCTGAGCAGACAGGGGACACGGGAAGCTGAATATGAATAGTGGTGTCACCGTGCTGGCTGTGCAGTGTACAAGGTGTGTGAATTAGAAGTACGTCGGAAGGTACAACAGTTGATATCAATGTATTTTAACTACACGATCTACTTATTTGGCTGGAGTTCCACTTTAACATTGGATCCTGTCTGGTCAATATATTGGTGTAGGCACCCACAGTCCAGCTTTAAAAAACAGCCACCTTTGCCTTACCTGCAGAGCTGCAAACATCATCATTTCCTCCTCTGTGCATTCGATCTCTTCAAGGAGAATGGACCATTTGGCTTGTTCGTAGAGCTGATTGATCCTGATGGCGTCATACTGCAACACAGAAAACACACAGATGTCTATAAGTCATTAGAGCCTGTTCCTGTGTACGAGAGAGACCAAACAAACCCCATTCATTCCTTACATCTGAACGGCCCTGCACTGTCACAATGGGGCCGTTCATTCTGCAGAGTTAGGGCGTTGTAGCTTTAAAGCCGAGCTCCGGCCTTCCCTTCAGTCTTGCACAGTTGTACCGGCTCCTCTCCTGGACTGAAATGGCTTTTTCTGATATCACTGCACACTGTGAGCTTCTCACAATGGGCATTATAAGCTGCACCAAGTCAGATAGAACCCGCCTCATTTCCTGGCTGAAAAACATCCAGCATCATCTACTGCTGTCCATACCAGTCTGGCTGTCCCTGGCCCACCCCTTTTTTTTCCATTGGATTTTAGTTCTTTCAATTATGGAGGCTCAGTATCATATTTGCATGAAGATGTAGCCTGCCAAGCAACACCCACTCCTCCAGACTGACACCCACCCATCAAGGCATTTACCCAACTCCACCCAAGAATCAGCCCACTGCTGGCACAGAGGGCTCTTGAGAAGAGTGCTAAGATGTTTCCAGGAATCCATGTAGCGAACCCTGATGGCTCCTCCCACCAGCCATGATCTTCCTACATTGCATATAGAAGCATGGGCTGCTAAGGCTGACACACCAAAGCCATGTGTACCATAGTTCCAATAATCTAATTACATTTCACACACTATTCAAAAAGGGACAATTCACCCAAAATTGATATTTTAGCTTCAAGTAGTAGTTTGGTGTTTTCTCATCTTTCAGGCAGTTGTTTGACTCTGCGGTCCTTAGCTAAATATTCTTGATCAGATACTTGCCATTAGTCCTAGAGCTCAATAGTGGAATATACAGAATGCACCAAGAGGAGTAAAGCTGGCCATACACCTACAGATTATCTGCAGATTTTCTATAGACCGATGGAAAAAGTGCGACAGATTCCTCCATCTACGCTAAACTGTGTGGATGGAGGAATCTCCAGTTGGGCCAAGCTTCAGTATCTTGCTAGGCGGCCCCGCTGGCTGCCAAAACACCTGAACAATGCCAGCATCCAATCAGATTGTTCAGGTATACGATTTAGGTGAACTACTTAAATGTTATCAATATATTGATCAACCCATCCTTAAAAGCTTTAGATTGCCTTTCACACAATGATCGAACAATTGATCAGTCATGGATTCCATCCTGTTAAGTGACCTTTAAAGCCTAACTCCATCCATTGCTTTATTCTTTTCTTGATGCAAATGATTTATTGATCAAACTTTCCCATTGCAATCAAGTTCTAAAATAAATAATGTGCTCCTCAAATCGATGGTGGTCTCAGATGACTGTGTTGCTGCGTGTATGGACAGCATGTGTTTTCCAGACTGCCTGATAAGGAAGCAGAACCAACTCACAACTCTAGACTGAAGGAATCCGTTTACAGAATGTCACATTTGAGACACTTTTCTCTGCACCACCTCTGGGCACATCTGCTGTGTTAGAGGTCATCTGTCAGCTATGCAGTTTTTACTGCTGATCAAGTACAGAAAGTTTACACAACTGAAATCCAGCTGGCAAAGAATGTAAGAGTCCTACAAGTTGTACCCTGCCACAGACTATATTAGAGCTGCAGCTAACGATTATTTTCAAAATCGATTAGTTAGCCGATTATTAGGTTCGATTAATCGGTTAATCGGATAAACAATAAAATAAAGTTTAAAAAATGGCTCCAGTGATGGGACTACTAGTTTGTATTGAGGTTGTAGTCCATCACAGGAGCAAGCTTGGAGCGGTGGAAGTAAAAAAGAAAGATAGTGTGGTGTGCAATATAGTGAAATGGAAAGTGTAAAATTATACAGCAATGAATGCAGAATACCACCAGCTATAGAGGAATACAACAAATCCCAGCAATAGTACATAATAGCTGGAGGCATTCTGCATTGCGCTGTATAATGTACTATTACTGGGTTTTGTCGTCCTCTATAGCTGGTGGTATTCAGCATTGCACCACTGTATAATGTATTATTGCTGGGATTTGTAGTCCTCTATACAGCGCAATGCAGAATATCACCAGCTATAGAGGAGTACAACAAATCCCAGCAATAGTACATTATAGCGTGCAATGCAGAATATCACCAGCTATATAGGAGTACAACAAATCCCAGCAATACATTATACATACAGTGTATAATGTATTGCTGGGATTTGTATTCCTATGTATAATATACAGCACAATGTACCATCAGCTATAGAGGAATACAAATCCCAGCAATACATTATAGAGCACCATGTGTGGGAAAGTGCAGGATTAACTGAGCAGTCTTCCAGCAACTTGCCTCTGAGATCGGGCCTGTCTATCGGCGGCTGTCATCACCCCACACCTGCTCCTCCTTACTTCTTCTCCCCGCGTCCCTGTGCCGATCGTGGATGTGGGTGGGCGGTGAGTGTGGAGCATGGATGCGGGCGGGTCTGGCAGCGGCGAGCGTGAGGTGGGGAGGAGGTACGGCGCACAGCGTGTGGAGCTGTGAACAGGGCCAACTGATCGGAAGCCGATTAATCGATTATTGAAAAAGTTGACAACTTTTTCAATAATCGATTATGTCGATTAGTTGTTGCAGCCCTAGACTATATGGCCAAATTATGTGGACATCCCTCATTATTAGGGATGCACCGATAACAATACTAGTATCTGTGCCGATACCGAGTATTTGGGAGAGTGCTTGTACTCGCCCAAATGCTCCAATGCCTATCTTGATACTGGATCTTCCAGCATCAGGAAGCCGGGCAGCAAGTCATTACATGCTGCCCAGCTTCCTGATTGGCCGGGAAGCTGGCTCCATGCTCCCTCGTTACCAGTGAGCATAGCATAGAGCTGGTATCCCGGCCAATCAAGAAGCCGGGCAGCTTGTAATGGGTCGCCACCTAGCTTCCTGATTGGCCAGCTTCCCGACCAACCAGGAAGCTAGGCGGCGAGTCATTACATGCTGCCCGGCTTCCTGATTGGCCGGGATACCAGCTCCATGCTCCCTGGTGACGAGGGAGCATGGAGCCAGCTTCCCGGCCAATCAGGAAGCCGGATGGCGACTCCTTATGCGTCTGGTCTCCTGGTGACAAGGGAGCATGGATCCGGCTTCCTGGCTAAATCAGGAAGCCGGGGGGCAGATAAGGACTCGCCGCCTGGCTTCCTGATTGGTCGATAAGCTGGCCAATCAGGAAGTCAGGAGGCGTGTCTGGACAGAAAGCTGGCTCCAAGCTAATCGGGAAGCCGGGTGGCGAGTCATTACATGCCGCCCAAACTTTCTGGCTAATCCGGAAGCCAGGTGGCGGGTCATTACATGCCGCCTGGCTCACTCAATGGGACTTCCGGTATCAGTATCGGTGCATCCCTACTCATTAGGATTGAGTTCTGAATTTTGCAATAAAGGGTACTGCTACAGCACACAAAGACATCTTAGACAATTGTGCACTTCCAACCTTGCTCGAGGAAGGATCGTCTCTGTTCCAGTATGACTGTCCCCTGTGTACAAATCCAGCTCCATAAAAACAAGGTCTGAGGAGTTTGGTTTGGAGGAACTCTAGTTGCCTGCATCGAGCCCTGAACTCAACCCTACTGCACTTTGGGATGAATCGGAACCCCGGTTATGAGCCAGGTTCTCTCATCCAACATCAGTACATAACCTTACAAATGCTCTTTTGGCTCAACGGGCACAAATTCCAAAAGAGTCCAAATTCTTCTGTAAAGCCTTCCCAGAATGAGTGGAGGCTGTTATATTAACAAAGGAGGCCAACTCCATATTAATTTCCATGGTTTTGAAATGGGATGCCCAACCAGCTCATACAGGTGTGATGGTCAGGTGTCCACAAACGTTTGGCAAAGTGTTATATGTGTATCGGTGGGGGTAATTAGCCCTGTGTATGTGACGAGTCGAGGGTGGTAGTATTTGGGTGACCTATAGGAGCAGGAGAGGTTAAGTGACATTAAACCCTCACATTTTTTAACATAAAACAATACTGTAATGTGCGCCTTACTGTAATCCATGGTAGTTTCCCTTCTCTTTGCTGCTCTTCCTTTTAAATTTGTATCTCTTCTCATGTTGGGCAGAACTTCTGTTTTGCAGCAGACTGCCTTGTCTCTGGAATGGATACATGGTGTCTGTGTATAGGTTTGTAACCTGAGCCAGCACTACAGGAAGAGGCACTCGGCCGCAAAGGGAAGTTCTCCCCCAGCATGAGAAGAGATACAGATTTAAAAGGAAGAGCAGCAAAGAGAAGGGAAACAACCATGGATTACAGTAAGGCGCACATTACAGTATTGGTTTACGTTAAAAAAAATCTGAGGGTTTAATGTCACTTTAGGCTAGGGATTTGCTAATCATTAACAAATACTGTATGTAGTCCAAAAAGCAGGCAGAAGAAATATGGACCATAGAATGGCAGGATCTGAAAGTATTGTCATCCTCCTCATTTTATGCACTCCTAACGCAGCACGGGTGGGGGTTCCCAAAGGTTAAGTGTGCCACTTCCCAAATCTTTGGGCAAGATTACAAAGATGTGTTTTCAAACAAGTATTACGTTTCCTGCCTGGAGTTGTACTACTTAAACATACAACGATGCTTCATTCTGAATGTTTCCATAAGGTCAACTCATCTTTGACCTTGTTTTGATCCTTTCGCAGATGTCCAATATAAAGGACAGCCAAAGCAGTTCTGTGTTGACCTGCCTGACCCCAAGAACTACCCGTCTGCTTCACATATGTTTGTAGGCCATTGGAGCTGGCCGGGAGGGAATGGAAAGAATTCAGTTACCTTGGGATTCAAGTCAAAAAAGCTGTAGTATTTGAATCGAAGTAGCAAAGCTTCGTTGTCTTTCACATCTTGTTCCATGAGTGATCGAGAGGAGTCCAACCACCTGCAACATGTTAAAAAGGGAAAGTATAGTCTAGTGAGCACATGTTGAATGATTTCTGCAGAGTTCACCTTATTTATTATTACACATTTATATTGCACCGACAATTTATGCACTTTAAATACTGTACATTCATATCAGTCCCTGTCCTCGAGGCGCTTACAATCTAAGGTCTCAATCTCACATGCAGGGCCAATTAACCTACCAGCATGTCTTTGGAGTCTGGGAGGAAACCTATGCAAGCACCGGGAGAACGTGCAAACTCCAAGCAGATAGTGTCCTGGCTAGGATTCAAACCAAGAACCCCAGCGGTTTAACCTGCCACAGGATTTTTCTTGCTGTAAATTCAAGCCTAAGACTTACACAGTCTCATCAGGTTGGTGACCTAAATTTTCTCTGCTGCAGTTAAGCGATAGAGCTCGGTCACCCCTCTGCCCAGAGCCTTTGACTAGACAATAAAAGGAACAGCAGTAGACTGATGAGCCCCTCCCGCTGCTCTACCCTCCTTTCAGCATGTTTCTTGACAGAACAAGTACACTCAGCAGGCCAATTGGCTCCTGGTGCTGCCCCTCCCTCTTCCAGTCTAAAATGCTGCTGTACAAAAAGATTACAAAAGACTGATACCAAGACAAATTCAGGAACTTACTCGAATTTCTTCAAAAGGGTATGTTAAAAAGGAGAAGTATGGGGTAAGTGTTTTCCCCCATAGTTCTCTTAAGGGTCACGGGAGGAAATAAACTAGCGTCCTCCCGTGACCCAAAGCTCAGTATATTGCGAGCTACAGCTCTCTATATACTGAGACTGCCATAGCCGGGATGGATCACGACATTACCGTCGAGATCCACCCAGCTGCATGAGTGACAGCTGGCTCTGCCTATCTAGAGGCAGAGCCAACTAATGATTAGGCAAGAATACATAACTGCATTGACTGGCATTTTTACATCTGCTTGGAGTCCAGCAATAAACCTGTGCTTTGCCCATTCAGGAAAAAAAAAAAAAAAAAAAGGACAGAAAGATAAAGTACTAACCCTTGGTTTATCTTGGCTTTGTCAAGAAGGGTCTGAGGCTTGTATAGTTTGGCAAGAACATCGGGAGAGGTGATTGGTTGACTGACTGCCAATATCCCGGGATTTCCTTCAGACAGGGCGCTGTCACCAAACCAAGCCGAGGTCGGGGAGAGGGGGCTGCCGTCTCGGGAGTCGTAGGTGGGAGTCATGGTCTTGCTGTACAGCCCGGGGCTCGAGTATATACTTCCTGATGTGGAGAGGAAAAATACAATTAAAAAAAAAGGTTCAAGGCCATGTGTAGGAAGCGACCATAACGCAGATTTCTTTTGCATGCTTTAGCACACGCCAGTTGCACAAAAAAAGGAGGGAAAACAAGGAGTGAAAACAGAACAGAGACACGAAGGCCCAGAAGGCAGCCAGACTCACCTTTGACAGGACCAATGTAAAGAACATCAGAGCCTAAAGAAAGGAGGGGAAAAAAAAAAGAGAGGAAATGAGACAGCCAGAGAGAGAGAGAGAAAGTGAAGTGCGGGAGGACAGGATCTGGAAGGATCATATTGAGGGGGGGGTGAAAAAAAAAAAAACGGGTCAGCAATTACTTAGAAGAGATGAATCCAATACAGCGTCATTTCTCTTACAGGAAACCTGTGCTGGAAAAATACATATAGTGCAATCTACTTTAAAGCTTTTGGATGAGCATGCCAGCCAATTAGCATTTTTAAAGTCTACCTCTAGGCGAATGCCTCCTAAGCACACCACTCCCATCTTTTTTAAGCCCCTGTTGACTTACCTGTACCTGCCACCAAGTAACCCTCTGTTGCGTCTCTTACTGAAGTGAAGACCGGTAATCCAGCGCTGAAGCCCGGGCCCGTTGCTGCCCTTCCTCATGACGTCACCATGCTGCTATAGCTTTCATGACCCTGTGAGGACCCAACCGATAGACCCAAAGGGAAGTTCCCATGTCACCTAGTGATGTGGCCACCAGAAGAAGGTCCTTCCCACTCTGAAGACCACAAGGCAGAAGACCTGTTAACTGGCGCGTCATGTGACCACAGATTCTGGCAAGTATTTAAGGCATTTAGTTTCTGTTCTTAATTACTGGGGCAGTTAGCTGGGTTGGGAGGTACAGGCAGTCACCGAGTTACAAACATCCGACATACATACATACAACCCCTACTTACAAAGGTAGGCTATTACTGCACAGCAGGGGGGTTCCAAGCTGCAGCCAAAATGTACCGCGCAGCATTCCAGTAGTTGTAATGCTACCACTCTCGTGCCGATGAGGAGTGCCCGCCTTTTTGGGTCTTCGTAGTATTTTAGGTACATTACAGGAAGTTGGCTCTTGTTAGACATGCAGACGAGGGGTGCCCACCTCTTCTTCCGGGTCACTGAGGTTTTTTTTTACTGCTGTCTGTATCCTCATTTGAAAGATATATTCTCCCTTCCTGTCCTTGAGACAAGAGGAAGTGAGGGGAAATCTACCCCTAGGAAGGGAAACTCACTCCTGTAAAGTTATCATGGGAAAAAAAGGTGCCTCCACTGAAGCTTCATCACCAATCCTTGTTTCCACGACAACCCAAAATTTTCAAAATCCAATTGTCACAGGGACAGAAAGTGTGGTGAAATCTTCTGAACAGGGGCACACACAGCAAAACAAATGTTACAGGGGGTAAACCCTTCCCTATGCAAAACTAAAAACAAATTTTGGCTGGAGTTACACTTCAAAAATGTACCTGTTCCAACTTACATACAAATTCAACTTAACAAACCTACAGTCCCTATCTTGTTCGTAGCCCGGGGACTGCTTGTATCGGGGTATTGTATAGAGGGGGGATTCCCTACTTTAATACTTTCACACTCATTGACTTGGAGAACTGCGCAGATCAAGGATTCCGATGTCACTTAGGCTTCTCTGGCTGCCAATGGTGTCCATGACTCAAAGCCATAGACAGCCAGGCAATGATGAAGAATTTTCAGGTAGTCAGCAGTGGCGGTCAGCATAGGTTTCTCTACAGTTTTTCTGTAGGAAGCCATCTGTGTTGCCTCGCCGTCACAAATCGCATACAAGCATGGACACGGAAACTACAGCTGCAGAATACCGTATCTGGTGGTCAACGGTCACTGTTGACCACCAGAATTCCAGCTAAAAGAGAAGGGAATAGGCAATGTGGATTCTGGAAATTCCGTCCATAATGACGTATCTTGGAGAAATTGGTTGGGAGGTCAAAATACTTCAATCCTGAACTATGAGAGATAATAATGGGGTGGCCCAAGGGGACTCTAGGATAGAAAGGTCTTTGATGATGTGCATTATATGCATCTCTGCAAAGCTGGATCCACAGATCTTCAGGATGGTTTTTACTCCACAGGACAAGCATGACTTATTTCAGATGAACTGAATTTTTTTTCTTGCTTTAGGAGAGAAATTGCCTTCATTCCAGAAAATCACACCAATGAAATAAGATGTCTTCCTCCTATCAGTACTACATATGATAACCATCACATAGGCTCAATTCACAAAGCTAACCCATCAGGATAAGGATCCTTACTTTCAAGTCCAATGAGATTTGATCATTGCAGTCACATGACCCTTCCCCTAAATAAAGCTTTGTGAATTGAGCACCTCCTCACAGCCAGCAGGTAATGGAGACTGAATAATAAGAGGGTGTTATTTGTTCACAATATATGTTATAGCATCAAAGACAGATCAATATCATCAATTGTCATTATGGAATTGGTTTGGTGTAAGACACTGACCAGACCCCGGTGTCAGTAAGGGCCCATCTAGTTCCAGAATGTTCTCTTCCATCTGGTCCTCAATCTTTTTCTTTTTTTTCTTTGGATCTCTTGGTTTCCGGAGCAGCGAAAGTTCTTCTGGATGTCTGATATCTGCGCAGCAGGAAGAAAAAAAATCAAAAATAAAAAAAAAAATCTTGAAAACATTGTATTCTGTATCCTCCTTTATATCTAATAGATTGTAAGCTCTTCTACCTTCTGTATCCTCCCTTATACCCTAATAGATTGCAAGCTCCTCCCCTTCTGTATCCTCCCTTATATCCTAATAGATTGTAAGCTCTTCAACCTTCTGTATCCTCCCTTATACCCCAATAGATTGTAAGCGCTTTCTCTTTCTATATCCTCCCTTATACCCTAATAGATTGTAAGCTCTTCCACCTTCTTATAAGCTTCCCTTATACCCCAATAGATTGTAAGCACTGCCTCTTTCTGTATCCTCCCTTATACCCTAATAGATTGCAAGCTCCTCCCCTTCTGTATCCTCCCTTATACCCTAATAGATTGTAAGCTCTTCTACCTTCTATATCCTCCCTTATACCCCAATAGATTGTAAGCTCTTCAACCTTCTGTATCCCCCCTTATACCCCAATAGATTGTAAGCGCTTTCTCTTTCTATATCCTCCCTTATACCCTAATAGATTGTAAGCTCTTCCACCTTCTTTACCCTCCCTTATACCCTCATAGACTGTAAGCTCTTTTCTTTCAGCTGGCGCTTCCCCTTTCATTCACAGACATCTTTCCTAACATGGCACGGATTGGGAAATCACATTTCTAAGCAAAATAGAAGATTTGGAGAGCCGGGTCAATGGCCAGGAACACGAAGACTTAAAATGTTTAGTATTTGGATTGGCATTGGAAGGAATTTCTTAACTGGCCTTGAAAAGAAGAAAGCCGAGACACGCGGTAGCAGCGCAGGAAACGTTTCACGGCCTTTTAAGGGGATAGCGTGTTGGCGTTTGATTACGCAATCTTTAAAACAAAAATAAGGTGGATTGGAACATTAGACAGAAAGG